CTCTTTTGTCACTAATACTTCTGCTACAACCGTCACACTGACGAGGTTCAGTTGCAATTCTGAATGGGAATATATGCGACTTGATGGATCGAAACATTCCAATTCAGATTCTTTTTTTTTTACTTTTGTCTTTTTATGACTTTTTCCACCATCACAAAGTATCTAAATTTAAATTAGACAGAATGCCTGCAGTACAGCGCTGTGTTCCACTGAATCAAAGATCTTACCCAAGTTAAAAGACTCCTCCGCTTTTTGTGCTCTTTGAGAGGCGAAGTCTGTTGAGTGTGTTTTATCTTCCCTCATTTTGCTCTCCTCTGTGCTAATGCTAACAGAAATCACTCGCTGGCAAGGCAGTTGATGACTCAGTCTTAAAAAGATTGAAAACTCCGCAGTGTGCCCCCAATAAACGAATTGCCAACAAAGAAATCTTCCCCACCTCAAAAGAAATCTTTTTAGTGGCAGCGATTTGAGAGCCAAATCCTTAAGTCCAAAAGTGGGCAACCGATTCATCGTTGTCCAAAGTCTGTCAATCCTGAAATCTGAGACTAAGAGGGCCAAGTTTAAACTATCGAAGTTAGCATTTAAGCGAGTGATGCTGCTCGAACATGATCATTTGCCCTATTGCAGGAATATCCGTACGACTGGGAAAAACCAAAGCAAAGTGCTGAAACGCTCGAGCACCAAAGCGGTGTTGTAAGTGAATACAAAAGTGTCTTGGATGGGCCGCGAAAAAATGATAAGGAATGCAAGGAGGAGTGCAAAAACGATAAAGCACAACAAGAAGCCAACGTTGAACCGAAAGCCCCTTAGTGTGTGTGTGTGTCGCGTTGAGATTGAGACCATTTGCTTATAAATATACTTGTATTTTTTCAGAAAAATCAAGAGCAATGTATTTTTTTCAGTTTTGAAGCATTCGTCAGAATTTCTTGCATAAAAGTTCACTCATTTCATAATATTAAACAAGGCAAACAGAACGGAAACTACAGATTAATACAAATAAATTAATACATTTAGTTAATACAGATTAGTACAACTGAGCTCAATAATATTCTAGTATAACCCCCCTTCTTTAAAAATACAGCTCTAAGTGATAAATCAAGATGCAAAATCTGAAGAGCTTTAGAGTTCAGGACATTTCGGGACGAAAATAA